TTGTTTTGAGAGATATCTAGTTGCGTGCTCTGCAGCTGTTACGAGGATGTAAAGATGGCTACCTCATAGGTTTTGATGTTTCTCCAGCGTGGAAATCTTCATCAATAGCCAGGATACAAAAATAAAAGTAAATTCATGTAGATCAAGAATCATTTGTTGATTCACATGTTTTGTTGAGTACGATCCTTCATTTAAATTAAGATATTTTATCAATTAAATAAAATTAGGTTAATAAAACCTATATCTTTACTAATTAAATAATATTTATATAATTAAATATTAATATAATCGTGCAGTTTTTCCTTGTTTTACCAGATACAAGAAATCTCTGTGGTATGTGCTTTTTTCTGTTCTTTTTTTCTCACCTAAAATGAATGCTGATCAAATTTTGTCAGTAGTCTGTAAGTCTATCTCTCTGTCCGTCCATCTGTAAACTTTTCAGTTTTTCAACTTCTAGACCCCATGGGCCAATTTCAACCAAACTACATGTGTCTACAAAGCATCCTTAGATAAAGGAGATTCACATTTATTCAAGTTAAGCTCTTATAATGGGAGAAAAATCTAGGGAAAAAAGTGTAAATTTGGTACATACAGGTTTTAAAAATCTTCCTCGCAAATGGGCAAAAAAAATCTTGTAGGAAGCCTTCTTTAAGTGTTGAAGATTCAATTCGTTCTTTTTATTTGATACATTGATTCTGTACAATAATATTTTCTACTTGTACTGTGTTTATGTTTCCAGATATGCTGCTCAAATATGTGGGGTGTGTCTGTGTGTGTAAAATTCCCTTCGTGTACAGCAGGGACCTATATACTTAACTTTAGTATAAAGGTCCCTGTGTACCAGCTTTAGTATATAGGTCCCCGTGTACCGGCTTTAGTATATAGGTCCCTGTGTACAGGCTTTAGTATATAGGTCACTGTGTACCGGCTTTAGTATATAGGTCCCTTTGTACAGGCTTAAGTATATAGGTCCCTGTGTACCGGCTTTAATATATAGGTCCCTGTGTACAGGCTTTAGTATATAGGTCCCTGTGTACCGGCTTTAGTATATAGGTCCCTGTGTACCGGCTTTAGTATATAGGTCCCTGTGAACCGGCTTTAGTATATAGGTCCCTGTGTACAGGCTTTAGTATATAGGTCCCTGTGTACCGGTTTTAGTATATAGGTCATATAGGTCCCTGTGTACAGGCTTTAGTATATAGGTCCCTGTGTACCGGCTTTAGTATATAGGTCCCTGTGTACAGGCTTTAGTATATAGGTCCCTGTGTACAGGCTTTAGTATATAGGTCCCTGTGTACAGGCTTTAGTATATAGGTCCCTGTGTACAGGCTTTAGTATATAGGTCCCTGTGTACAGGCTTTAGTATATAGGTCCCTATGTACAGGCTTTAGTATATAGGTCCCTGTGTACAGGCTTTAGTATATAGGTCCCTGTGTACCGGCTTTAGTATATAGGCCCCTGTGTACAGGCTTTAGTATATAGGTCCCTGTGTACAGGCTTTAGTATATAGGTCCCTGTGTACCGGCTTTAGTATATAGGTCCCTGTGTACAGGCTTTAGTATATAGGTCCCTGTGTACAGGCTTTAGTATATAGGTCCCTGTGTACAGGCTTTAGTATATAGGTCCCTGTGTACCGGCTTTAGTATATAGGTCCCTGTGTACCGGCTTTAGTATATAGGTCCCTGTGTACAGGCTTTAGTATATAGGTCCCTGTGTACAGGCTTTAGTATATAGGTCCCTGTGTACAGGCTTTAAAATGAATCATGTGAATGCGTAAGCTGAATATATACATGATATAAATAATTTACCATTAAAAGAATTATCATACAGTACAATATATCTTATGTTTTTGATTATTCAGAATTATTATCCTCTTATCTAAGAGCTATTTATGTGCTATAATGCCATCTATTGTTATCCAATGACGTGATACATCTATCCTTAAGTTTTCGTCTTTTTTCCCCACAGAATCACTCTATAGAGACAACAATTTCAAGCAGTGTTTGTTGCCAAAAAGCATCATTGGATAATAATGGATATGAATTTGACAAATAAAAATCAGGTTTGTTTCATAAGAAAATAGTTTTAAAATTGTGAAATTGTGAAAAATTTTCTGTAGTTTCTTACACACTTGAATCACTCTGTCTGTCTGCCCTTGTACGCATGCCCTGATCAGCTATAATTATGTAATATTAACTAGAAGCTCATACAGTGTACTTATAACTAGGGATGGCAATCGAATGCAGAATTGCTAATCAGTTAATCGCAAGACGTTTCAACCGATTAGCCGAAAGTGGGTAAAAACTTTCATTTGAATTAAGATATTTTATCGATTAAATAAAATTTGGTAAATAAAACCTACTACATGTAGTAGGTTTTATTTACCAAATTTTATTTAATTGATAAAATATTTTAATTCAAATGAAACATGTGAAAGTTTTTATCCATGTCAACAGAACATGTGAATCAACAAAGGATTCTAGATCTACATAAATTTACTTTTATTTTTTTATCCTGATTATTGATGAAGATTTGCATGCTGAAAAAAGATCAAAACCTATGAGGTAGCCATATTTTCATCCTTGCAACAGCTGCACAGTACATCCCTTCATATCTGTCAAAACGAAGCCAGAACATTTTAACCCTTATATTTATGTTAAACTTCCATAATTTTCAATATGGACCCTCATTTATCCGGACACTTTGGTTCCTAGTCAATTTGTCCGGATATGTGAAGCATCCGGATATCTGAATCACCAGTTAAAGAAGACAAAATAACATTTTAAGATTTTGTTCCGATGAGAAATCGTCCGGATACTGAAGCATCCGGATATCTGGCGTCCGAATATCTGAGGTATCACTGTATATGATTACATATGTACTCTCGTTAGAATAATAAATAATATGTAATTGTCATTTGTTTTCTCAGCCAATAAAAAGAAACAAGATAAACAGAAACCGTGCAGTTTGTCCTTGTTTTACTAGATACAAGAATTCAGTGTGGTATTTGCTTTTTTCTGTTCTTTTTTGCTCACCTAAGTTGAATGCTGATCAAATTTTGTTTGTAGTCTGTCTGTCTAGCTGTCTCTTTGGCCATCTGTAAGGTTTTTGGAATTTCAATTTCTCTAGAACCATGGACCAATTTCAACTAAACTATCTACAAAGCATTCTTAGGTGAAGGAGATTCGCTTTTATTCAAGTGAAGGGGAGATAATATAGAAAAACTGTGAAAATTTGGTAGCATGTTTTAAAAATGATTTTTATCCTCTTCGCAAGAGCTACTGGGCATAAAAATATAAACTTGTAAGAAACTTTCTTTAAGTGATGTAGATTCAAATTTGTTTAGATTAATACCAGGAAGAGGGCTGGGCCAAAATGGGGGTAAAAATTGGCATAAGAATATGCAAGAAAAAATGTTTCATAATCTTATTCTTAAGAACAACAAAGAAACGAGTAACCAGCCATATTGATATGGAAGCATCCACAAGTAGTGTAGAAATAGATTTGTTCAAATTGTTAGTTATGGAGTTAAGTTTGAGGCCACAGTAGTTGTTCAAAGATTACGTGGCATAATATAGGAAAAAAAAAACTTTCAAAATCTTCTCAAGAACAATAAAACCTCTTCTAGTTGTATTGCATACTGATACAGAAGCCTTTATTTCTCAGATAGTGTAAGTTTACGTTTATTCAAATTAAGGACAGATGATACAAACAATCTTTTGTCAAAGAATTTGAAAATAACAATTGGATCATGTTTAAATAAATAAAATGAATAACTTTCAACGCGTAGTTTTTATTTTTTTTTCAAACATGCATACAAATGGAATTTGAAGTGAAAAATATTTGTATAGATTAATAAGGATAGTTTCAGAAGGGCAGACTTTTGAAGACCACATAATGTTTACAATTTCTTTATATTCTAGAAATTTATTAGTTGCATAATTTACAATGAAATTAGGCCAAAAAATATCAACCAATCCTGGCATCCATTTTTTGTTTGTATCTTCTGTCCTTAAGACTCCCAGGGGTAGGATGAGACCTCAGTGGGGGATCAAAGTCCTACATAGGGCTAGACATACATATCAAAAACAACAACTTTAACAATCTTCTTCTCAAGTAAAAAGCAAAGCCATGTTTATTCATATTGATATAAGAACATCCTCAGGAAGTGTAGATTCAGATTTCTTTAAATGTTGATCCCCCATGGGGATCCGGGTTAGAATAGGTCCTCATTACCCCCTTGCTGGTCGTAAAAGGCGACTAAATGGGGCGGTCCTTCGAATAAGACTGTATAAACCGAGGCCCCATGTCACAGCAGGTGTGGCACTATAAAGATCCTTCCCTGCTCAAAGGCCATAAGTGCCGAGCATATGGCTTAATTTCGACCTTCACCGGCAATGGTGACGTCTCCATATCAGTGAAATATTCTGGAGAGGGACGTTAAACAGTATACAATCAATCAATCAAATGATGACTTCTGGGAGGGGGGTAAGGTGAGACCAATTTTGAGTATCAAATTTTTACACAGGAGAATATAGGAAAAAATCTATTCATGATCAACAAAGTGTTGGTTATAGTCATATTGATATTGAAGGATGCTCAGGAAGTGAAAATTATGTTTGTGTAAATCATAACCCCTGGGATGAGGAGGGCCCCAAAAGGGGATAAAAATTTTACAAAGGTAAATATAAGAATTTTTTTTTTAATTTCTTCTCAAGAACAGCAAAGCCGTTACAATGTAGTTATGGAAGAATATTCAGAAAGTGAAAAAAATCAAGTCCGCCTCCACCCCTGCCCATGAAAGAACTGATTTCTGCTTATTCCTAGACAATGTTCTCAGGTGAGCAATGTGGCCATTGGCCTCTTGATTATATGTCACAACAAACTTTTGATCATGGCTATCTGTAGGGCTAATCATTTCAGAAAATGTATTATTTATATTTATACATACCTAGATACATGTATATAGTTTTATTCCATTGAATGATTTATAAATATTGATTGGTTACACAGGTTATATTGTGAACACTTGGAGGCTGCTATCTATTGAGACATCAAAAGGACTCAGTTCCCAATAGAAAGGTATTTAATATGTTTATGTGTATTTTGATACTTTTAAGTTTTTCAGTTTCTTAAATCGAGAATATTGATACACAAGGCCATCTTTTAAAACTGTTTGGTTGCCTTCTCTCAACGATTTAGTAACTAAAACAGCCCAAATGAAAACTTTTTGATTTCACATTTGCAGGTGTTTTTGAATAAAGAAAAGAATTTGGTCCTTATCTGCCTACCCTGTTTTTATCCTCAGTCAGGAGAGGGCAAGCAAACATATTTTGTAAGGATGTCCTGATCTTAATAATAAGTAATAATAAACTTATAAAGAGAGGCGTATTATAATAAGTAGTAATAAATTTATATTAAATAATTATTTCGCTTTATATAATGCATGCATATATTCAAACTACTGAACAGATTGGGCAAGATGCATACAATATCTGTAAACACACTATTATTGATGTAGAAAATTCTAGAACAGTGTTGTAATTTACAGAGACATCTCTCTGACTGAAGGAAATCAACACAGGATTATAAAGTCACACGAAATCGAAGTCTGATGTCAGTGATGTATAGATTGGTGTTACAGACATCTGTCACAGTGTCCGGTGTTAGTACGTGTCGTCACATTAGCCACGTGTCAACAGAACGGGTCTGGATCAGTGATAATAAAGGCAATCTCATCTTAACTAACACGACAGGAGTTACACTAGATCAAGTGACAGATTTATATCAATATAGTGGTGTTGGATTACATACTGTGACTCGGGATAGTGCTGTGATTTATATAGACAGACACCGTAACATCATAAAACTGTCTAAAGATAAAGTAAAGACCACAGTGATACCACACACAGCACCATGGAGACCATACAGTGTCTACAGCTCCCCCTCCACTGGAGACCTGCTGGTCGGGATGTTTAATACTGATACAAGGACAGGCCAGGTAAACCGTTACACTAACACAGGACGACACATACAGACCATACAGCATGACAACACAGGTCAGGGACTCTATAGTTTACCTAGATACATCACAGAGAACCGCAGTGGAGATGTTATTGTGTCTGACATTAACCGTGGTGTAGTGGTGACAGACAGAGGAGGAAGACATCGCTTCTCCTACAGAGGTCCTACATCAGGATCATTTCTAGGACCACGTGGAATCTGTACTGACGCGCTGTCACACATCCTGGTGTGTGATTTTAACACCGACACAGTACATATCATTGACCAGGACGGTCTGTTTCTGACTCAGATAGAGACCAAACAGCACGGGATAGACACACCATGGGGCCTGAGTTATGATTATAAAACACAGCTTCTCTGGGTTGGATCATGGAACAACAACACAGTAAACATTTACAGACTTATCAATGAAGGGGACGATCTAACTGGTGAGCTTTACTATTGTATCTTTGTGTGTTTTTTATTTACATGTATAGGTATTAGGTAACTATGTTTTGTTTACAATGCTACATCTACAAACAAGAGGCCCATGGGCCACATCGCTCACCTGAGAAGCTTTGACCATTCTGTTCTTTACCACATCCCCCCCTTGTTATACATAATGCATCCCCAACCTACCCCACTGATCATAATTTAGACATTTTGAAATCTACACTACCCCATGATCCTTCCATGGGCACATATATTTCAGCTTTTTTGGCTCAGCGGTTCCTGCGAAGAAGATTTTCAAAGATTTTTCCTATATATTTCTATTTAAAACTTTGATTCCCTATAATGGCCACGCCTTTCCCTGGGAGTAATGATTCCTACAATTTAGAATTTACACTACCCCAGAATGCTTCCACATAAGCTTCTCTTTTTCTAGCCCAGTGGTTCTTGAGAAGATTTTCAAAGATTTTTCTTATATATTTCTATATAAAACTTTGATTCCCCATTGTGGCCCCGCCCTTCCCCTGGGGGTTATTATTTGAACAATTTAAAATCTACATTATACCAGGATGCTTCCACATAAGTTTCAGTTTTCTGTCCAAGTGGTTCTTGAGAAGAAGATTTTCAAAGATTTTTCCTATATATTTCTATGTAAACTTCTGCCCCATTGTGGCCCCGCCCTTCCCCCGGGGGCATGATGTGAATAATTTAGAATCTTCACTATACCAGGATGCTTCCACATAAGTTTCAGCTTTTCTGGCCCAGTGGTTCTTAAGAAGAAGATTTTCACAGATTTTTCCTATATATTTTTAAATAAAACTTTGATTCCCCATTGTGGGCCCGCACTTCCCCCGGCATATATGATGTGAACAATTTAGAATCTACACTATACCGGGATCGTTCCACATAAGATTCAGCTTTTCTGGTCTAGTGGTTCTTGAGAAAAAGATTTTTTAATGACCCAACCCTATTTTTGTCTTTTCTTGATTATCTCCCCTTGCGAGGGGATATGTCCCTTCATTTTTACAATTTGAATTCCCTTTTACCCAAGGATGCTTTGTACCCAGTTTGGTGAAAATTGGCCCAGTGGTTCTTGAGAAGAAGTCGAAAATGTGAAAAGTTTACAGACGGACATAGAGACGGACGGACAGACAGACGGACGACGGACAAAATGTGATCAGAAAAGCTAACTTGAGCCTTCGGCTCAGGTGAGCTAAAAGTACCATTATCATGATTATCTACAATAATTAAATTATTAAGGAAGTCACATTCACTGTTGTATGGGTAATATTAAACGAAACATTCAAAATTATAAGTGAAGTTTCATTACATCTTTGATTGAATTATAATTTTTCACATTAAATAACAGGATATATTTCTTATATGAGGATAATATAAATTATAAATTGTTCTTTAATATATTTTAATGGTTAGAATACTTTTACATGTTTTAAAAGTATTTGATATCTAAGGAGAAAATTTGAATCATATTAATACATGTAAATGTTTATGAACTTGTTAAACATCCTCTGGAATTAATTAATTTCTCACGTATGTAGAGCTTAATCAAGTGTATAGATATTACTGAGGCATGTAAACAATTGTCTCTGTAGTCAAATCTTTGTTGAATGATAGGTGGGCTGAGCAGAGAGAGATAACTCTAAATAAAAAACACTAGAATGCCTGTGTTTTGTTTACATTTGACAATGTATTATTATTTAGAATACTTAGTATTGGATTATTATTAATTAAATAGCCAAAGAAAAATGTATACATATAATTTTTTTATTTACCATATAAAATATAGGGGGATTACTTATGAAAAAAATATGGTTATGAATTGTTTTTGTATTTTACAGTATGAAGGATTAGACAGGGCACTGATGTGAAATGGGTGTAGTCGTGTAGAGTAGGTGGTTGTGGGAATTGGAAATAAGGTTTTTAAGTAGGTTTCTTAAAACAAAACATTAGTTGTAAATTAAAAGGTTCTTTTTGATAAAATTAACAAGGTCAATAGGTTACTGTGTGGAGGCCAGGTGTGTATGAATGTGTAACTAAGGATGTAATACTTATATCCAGTCGACTCCTACCTTACACGAGCAGAGGGTAACATCATATATTTTAAGTTTCTTATTAGGAACTAATGAACCAGTTTCAACCCATTCTGACATAAAGCAATTATTAGTAAAGGGAAAGAGAAATTGTAAATTTTCATCCTCCAAGTGGCCTTCTCTCGTGTCTAAGGGCACTTCTCTAAAGGTCATATTGTAAAAATACATAAATTCTAAAACGAATAGAAAATTTTCCACTCTCCTTTTAGAAATTTAACTGATGAACTACATAAAAATAGTGAGTTCAGTGTTCTTTTGATGAAATAGGGGGCGGGGCTCTATTGATTAAACATTTTAACATGTTTAAATACAGAAAACATAATTTCTTAGAAAAAAATCTCTTCTCTACTCTTAGATAGTAAGGAAATAAATAAAGAGTTTAGTAAAGATAAAGGGTGGAGTTCTCCTTTCAAAATTGTGTATGTCAAGCCCTCTGTAAATGGAATTCTAGTGTTGAGGCCTTGAGGGTTAAGATTTTTTGAATTTACAGTGAAAATGTTTTATTATGTTTTATTTCCTTGAAAATATTTTACTCTGCTAAAAAGTACAGTGTAATAATGCAGGGCTATATTTTACAGACCTGTGATATTCTTGATCCATTTTGTAAAAAAGTTTGGTTCTAGGGCTGAATTAACATGTGAGTTATTTCCCTTTGCTATTCACTTTGCAACATAGATTCATATTTTTTTTTAAATTTTGTTTTATTATATTTTTTTTATCCTTACAGTGCTATACTAAAATCAGATAACTGTTAATGCCCTTGGACCTTTTGGTTTTATTCTGTGTTCGTCAAATGAAAGAAAAAATGTGATCTGCGTGTTCTTGTAATTCTAATTATTCCTTTATATTTTAGATAAAGTTGATGAGTTAAAGACGTTCTTGAGAAAAGAGAAGACAACGGTTTCCCATGCCAGAGGAATACTTGTTGGATGTGCCGAGGCTGGAAAAACAACGCTACTGAAGAGATTAAGAGGGCAAAGTCAAAATATAGGTGAAGTTACAGAGTCCACCAGGGGACTGGAAGTCCATCAACATCTTTTCATTGTTAAAGACAGAGAGTTAGAAGGTAAATAGTTTCTACATTTAGCCATTAAGAATGGACAGGATTTCTGTTGTCAAAATCTCATTTCTTGAATGGTTTTACATCAGATGTAAAACCATTCAAGAAATGAAATTTTGAAAAATAGGGCTGAATATTGCAAAAATGTAATAGGGTGACATGAAAATGTCTATAGATTCTATTGACATTCGAGATGAGCTTATGCTATATCCCCGGCGTTGGCGTCGGCGTCGGCATTAGCGTCGGCGTCCCAGGTTAAAGTTTTAGGAGCAAGTCCATTACCAAGTAACTATTAGCCCTATCTGAACCAAACTTGCATGGATGGTGCATCTAGAGATGTACACTACCAGACTTGCTTCGGATGCTGGATCTGACCTACATTATTTTTCTAGATGAGTGACCAAGTTAAAGTTTTTGGAGCAGGTCCATTCCCAAGGAATTATAAGCCCTACCCAGACCACACTTGCATGGATGATGCATCTATGAATGTACACTACCAGACTTGCTTTGGATGCTGGATCTGACCTACATTGTCTAGATGAGTGACCAGGTTAAAGTTTGTGGAGCAGGTCCTTTCCACAAGAACTATAAGCCCTATTTGGACCAAACTTGCATGGATGATGTATCTTAGGATGGACACTACCAGACTTGCTTCAGATGCTTGATCTAACCTACTTTTTCATTCCCAAGTAAATATAAACCCTACCTGAAGCAAACTTGCATGGATGATGTATCTAGGGATGTACACTACCAGACTAGTTTCAGATGCTGGATCTGACCTACATTTTCATTCCCAAGTAACTATGAGCTCTATTTGGACCAAACTTGCATGGATGATGTATCTAGGGATGGACACTACCAGACTTGCTTCTGATGCTGGATCTGACCTACATTTTTCATTCCCGAGTAGCTATGAGCTCTATTTGGACCAAACTTGCATTGATGATGTATCTAGGGATGGACACTACCAGACTTGCTTCGGATGCTGGATCGGACCTACATTTTCATTCCCAAGTAACTATGAGCTCTATTTGGACCAAACTTGCATGGATGATGTATTCTGATGCTGGATCTGACCTACATTTTTCATTCCCGAGTAACTATGAGCTCTATTTGGACCAAACTTGCATTGATGATGTATCTAGGGATGGACACTACCAGACTTGCTTCGGATGCTGGATCGGACCTAAATTTTCATTTCCAAGTAACTATAAGCCCTTCCTGAACCAAATTTGAATGTATGATGCATCTAGGGATGAACACTACCAGACTTGCTTGTGATGCAGGATCTGACCTACAATTTTCATTCCCAAGTAACTATGAGCTCTATTTGGACCAAACTTGCATTGATGATGTATCTAGGGATGGACAATACCAGACATGCTTCGGATGCTGGATCTGACCTACATTTTCATTTCCAAGTAGCTGTAAGCCCTAGCTAAAGCAAACTTGCATGGATGATGTATCTTAGGATGGACACTACCAGACTTGCTTCAGATGCTTGATCTAACCTACTTTTTCATTCCCAAGTAAATATAAACCCTACCTGAAGCAAACTTGCATGGATGATGTATCTAGGGATGTACACTACCAGACTAGTTTCAGATGCTGGATCTGACCTACATTTTCATTCCCAAGTAACTATGAGCTCTATTTGGACCAAACTTGCATGGATGATGTATCTAGGGATGGACACTACCAGACTTGCTTCTGATGCTGGATCTGACCTACATTTTTCATTCCCGAGTAGCTATGAGCTCTATTTGGACCAAACTTGCATTGATGATGTATCTAGGGATGGACACTACCAGACTTGCTTCGGATGCTGGATCGGACCTACATTTTCATTCCCAAGTAACTATGAGCTCTATTTGGACCAAACTTGCATGGATGATGTATTCTGATGCTGGATCTGACCTACATTTTTCATTCCCGAGTAACTATGAGCTCTATTTGGACCAAACTTGCATTGATGATGTATCTAGGGATGGACACTACCAGACATGCTTCGGATGCTGGATCGGACCTACATTTTCATTTCCAAGTAACTATAAGCCCTTCCTGAACCAAATTTGAATGTATGATGCATCTAGGGATGAACACTACCAGACTTGCTTCTGATGCAGGATCTGACCTACAATTTTCATTCCCAAGTAACTATGAGCTCTATTTGGACCAAACTTGCATTGATGATGTTTCTAGGGATGGACACTACCAGACATGCTTCGGATGCTGGATCTGACCTACATTTTCATTCCCAAGTAGCTGTAAGCCCTAGCTAAAGCAAACTTGCATGGATGATGTATCTTAGGATGGACACTACCAGACTTGCTTCGGATGCTGGATCTGACCTACATTTTCATTCCCAAGTAACTATAATGCCTAGCTAAACCAAACTTGCATGGATGATGCATCTTAGGATGGACACTACATGTATCAGACTTGCTTGGGATGTTGGGTCTGACCTATATTTTCCTTACAAGAGACCAGGTTAAAGTTTTGGGAACAGATCAATCCGAGTGAACTTGAAGTCTTTGATATCTGCAGTTTTAACAGTTATGAATATTTGTTTACACAATACATGTTTTTCACACAAAATGCATAGAAATGTGTATATGCCATGTAGAGGGTAAAGCACAACTTGCAAGAATATTGTTGTTAGGATGAATACTTAATATTAAGAAGATATGATGTAGGATTTGCATTACTTAAAACTGATAACATTCGTTGAGGTGAGCTTCGTAATCTTTTTTTTATTGTATTTATTATCCCCTCGCTCAACTAGTTGCGGAGGGGATATAGCATCGCGAATGTGAGTATGTATGTGTGTGTGTGTGTGTGTGTTAGTGTGTTCGTTACCTTGTGGGCAAGATTGACAGAGAACCTTTGCATTAACCTTTCTCGGCGTTTACATACTTGCGTGGCAGTTTAAAAGGACGAAGCCTATTAATTTTCAAGTCCACTGATTCAATATTTCTTCAGATATCGCGTTTTTACTGCCTTGTAACCCTGCCATTTTATGTACGAGTTGACAATAAACATTTGTGGGCAAGATTGACAGAAAACCTTTGCATTAACCACTCGCAGCGTTTACATACTTGCGTGGCAGTATACAAGGAAGAAGCCTATTAATTTTCAAGTTCAGTGATGAAATATTTCTTCAGATATCGCATTTTCACTGTCACAAAACTCTGACATTTATGTACGAGTTGACAATAATCATTTCCGTTAGGGAACAAGTATAAAAGCCATGTGAGTCTGTGGGAACCAGATTAAAAGAATTTTGATGAATGTCGCGGTGTCTGGGAATTCGGGATGCACATTAAATTGAACGTGTGCGTGTGTGGGGGGGGGGGGCTTAAATTGAATGTGTGTGTGTGTGGGGGGGGGGGGGGGCTTAACCAACAAAAAATAGAAATTGTCTATGTTTGCAAAAATGTGGGAGGCTAAGAGTCAAATAAACTCTCGATGTACAATGTTATTTCTCATTACAAAAAAATGCATATTGCCTGGAACTGTGAAATATGCTTATTAGGTAGGTAAATAATTTTAAATTACTGAAACTTGTACATGTAGCATACGTGATATGTTTCTACTAGGTGTAAGGGAAATTGAACAGCCCAATTACGTATGCATATATGCCCCCCACCCACCCCTCCCAACTTAAATGCTATGCAATTTGCTTTTTGTTAGAAATAGACATGCCAACCCCCTATAATATTTTTAAAGAAATAAATAGAGCTGAAAAACAATTTTATACCTGATATTAAACTTGACTACCCAAAATTAGGTATCAATGTTATGCCCCCCCTTTAACCAAGACGCTATGAACTATGCATTTTGTAAAAAAAAATTGGATCAACAACAACACTCCCCTAATTATTTTGTCAAAAGTAAGGGAGTTGGTCCTAATGTTGCGGGTTTGAATCCCACTGTGGGACGTGGAGACTGGTCCTTCAAATGAGACCGTGTCAACCAAGGGCCAATGTCCTATTAGATGCTGGTTTAAAAAGATCCCTCACTGCTCAATGGCCATCAGTGCCTATTACAGGAAAAAGTGTGCAGCTCTTCAAGGACAAGCTTTCATATGAGCAAAATATTCATGACAGGGACATTAAAGAAGATACGTTGTACTTTCAATCTTTGACATGTTTAACGTCCTTCTAGAGAATTTATCTTTCATGAAACATTGCCATTACCAGATGTTCCTGCCGCGAGGGGATGCTCCGCTTAGCGGTGCCCTTGTTTTAAAATGACCTGTATATTTATACATTTCCTATGGAAAATTTTCAAAAATAGAATGAAATATTGATTTCTTAAAAGAACAGAATCATAGTGAATATGAGATTCCAGGTCCTAGGAAACTAGGATAAAGCAAGTTTTACAATGTGCCTAGCATTTTCCCGTCACATCTTAATGACTGAAAGAGAAGAAATGTACAGTGGACCCTCATTTATCCGGACGCTTTGGTTCCCAGTCAATATGTCCAGATATGTGAAGCATCCAGATATCTGAATCACCACTTAAATAAGACAAAATAACATTTTAAAATTTCGTTCCGTTGAAAGATCGTCCGGATACTGAAGCATCCAGATATCTGCCGTCCGGATATTTGAGGGTCCACTGTAATGGCGGATCTATAAGGAGGTTTTTTTTTGAGGGGGTTAACATCCTCTAAGAGAGAGTGAGGATCCCCACATATTTGTTGCGTTTTTATTAGCTCACCTGAGCTGAAAGCTCAAGTGAGTTTTTCTGATCACATTTTTTTCGGCGTCCGTTTGTCTGTCCGTCTGTCTAGCTGTCTGTCTTTTCACTTTTCACATTTTCGACTTCTTCTCAAGAACCGCTGGGCCAATTTCAACCAAACTTCCCACAAAGTATCCTTGGGTGAAGGAGATTCAAGTTTATTCAAAGGAAGGGCCACACCCTCATTCAAGGGGAGATAATTGGGAATTGATGAAAATTTGATGGCATGCTTTAAAAATCTTCTTCTCAAGAACCATTGTGCCAGGAAAGATGAAACTTATGGGGAAACATCCTCAGGTAGTGTAGATTCAAATTTTCAAATCATGACCCCCGGGGGTAGGGCGGGGCCAAAATGGCCGACCAAAGTTTTGCATAGAAATATATAGGAAAATTCTTTAAAAATCTTTTCAAGAATGACAAAACCATAATTAATCATATTTATATGGAAGCATGCTCAGGTGCAGATTCAAGTTTGTTCAAATCATGCCCCCCCAGGGTAGGGCGGGCCCAAAATTGCTGACCAAAGTTTTACATAGAAATATATAGGAAAATTCTTTTAAAAATGTTTTTCTCAAGAATGACAAAACATAATTCATCATAAATATATGGAACCATGCTCAGGTAGTGCAGATTCGAGATTTACAAATCATGACCTCCCAGGATAGGGCAGGGCCAAAATGGCCGACCAAAGTTTTCCATAGAAATATATAGGAAAATTCTTTAATGTCCTTCTTCTCAAGAATGACAAAGCCATAATTCATCATATATATATGCAAGCATGCTCATGCATCAAACTTCAACTCAAGTTTATGAGTACCAAACTGAGTGCAGAGACGCAGAGGACTATGTACAGTTTGCTTATACATGTAATATGCATGAAGAAAATCTGCAATTTCACATGGAAGTCTTTCACATCATGGGGATATTTTAACAGAAAAAATAAATAAGAAATTTTTATAACAGATCATGCAAAGTTCAGTTTCTAATTACTTCATGAAAGGAACAATTATTTGGTTTGCGGCCAATTTTTAGCTCTACTGGTCAGAGACCATAAGAGCTAATGCGATAGCAATGCGTCCGTCGTCCATCCGTCTGTCTGTACGTCTGTCTGTAAACAATTTTTCAAATTGTTACTCCTCCTACAATTTTAGTCTGATTTCAATATTACTTGGCACACAAGTAGACTACACTAAGATATATAGAATAGTGCATTGGTTTTTGATTTCGATGAACGGTGTTGCCATGGTTACTAAAAATAGAATTTTCTTTGAAATTCCTTTAAAATGCTACTCCTTTTACAGTTTTGGTCTGATTTTAATATAACATGGCACACAAGTAGACTACACTAAGATACATAGAATAGTGCATCAGTTTTTGATTTCGATGAATGGTGCTGCCATGGTTACTAAAAATAGAATTTTCTGTAAAATTCCTTTAAAACACAACTCCTTTTACAGTTTTGGTCTGATTTCAGGATAACTTGGCACACAAGTAGACTACACTAAGATACATAGAATAGTTCATCGGTTTTTGATTTCAATGAACAGTGTTACCGTGGTTACTAAAAATATAATTTTCTGTGAAATTCCTTTAAAATGCTACTCTTTCTACAGTTTTAGTTTGATTTTAAAATAAGTTGGCACACAAGTAGACTACACAAAGATACAAAAAATAATTCAATGGTTTTTGATGAGTACAAACTAGTAGAGCTACAGTCTCAACAGAGACTTCTGGTTGACACTTGCATCAATATTGTAATGAGTAATGAAAAAGGCCTATGCTATTCAAACGTTGTTGTGACCTGGAATAATGGAACAGTCCAGGAGCCTGTTCACCCCTGTTTGAATGGTATGGCCCTTTGCTATATAAATGACTGCAGAGGCAGTCTCGATCATTCTGAAACCCGTAGAAGAAGTGGGAAGTTGAAAAGAAGAAAATAGTTCATATTAGAACAGAAGAATTAAAATAGTGAAATAAAAGTAAGGCTAGGGTACAGAGCGCCGGTAAATGGTTAGCCCAGAAATTGTAGTGTAGCGCAAGGTATAGTAGTCCTGAATAAGGGTGAGGTACCGAGCACTCATTACAATAAGAACTTGGTTTCGGAACCAGGTGCAGGGAACCCAGTCATATAGATTGTACTTGGTAACAGAGAACCTCGGCTTTTGTATCCCGCTGTTTATATAAAAAAATAATAAGGACAAGGATCCCACGAAAGTAATGATTAGTCATACTTGTACACATTTTAATTCCCAGTATTAATTATAGGCTCAGATAGAGCCATAGGAAACGTTCATTTATATTTATATATATTGGACCCTGTATCTCCTGAAAACGGACCCTTAGGTTACACGTTACATTTTGGTGGCAGCTGGTAAAGGGATACAGGGTACATTTAATTGCTAGAATCTGTTGATTTAAGTTTATTTAACGGTGTGAACTGTGTTCTGTAACCGGGTTCTCGTGAACGCAGTTCTGTAAAGTGATTCAGATATAAGGTACAGTGTTCTGTGTGTACTGTGTTAGGTACATGCACCACAGTAAGATTTTATATAGTTGAGTACCGAGTATTTTTGTTTGGTTACTTGGTATACATTATATAGAAATTAAACATGAAGAATGAACAAGAATCAGAACTTTGGGCAGATCTTGAAGAAATTGACGTTAGACGACGACAATTAAGAGAAACGTTGGAGAGGTTAAAGTCTACGTCAAGCTCATTTATTGTTAGTAGGCCCTCCTTATAGTCACTGATTCTGGTTTAGACTTGAGGCATAAGACTGATGACGACAGTATAGATGAGTTGATGGGTAAACCTTACTTAAGCCCCACCACAAGAGCAAGTAATGTGAAAGGAGCTATGGGTGGATACGAGGAACACAAGACCCAAGATTATGATTTCTATGTTCCTGGAACCAAAGATATTTGGGACAGAGGCGATGTTTACACCACACCAAAGTCGGCATACTCAGGAGTGTCACTGGGTAAATCAGCATATACACACGGATTTCAACGCCGTATGTACACTGGAGTACGTTAGGTGTAAGCTCAATGTCAACACCCACAAGTGTTACATGGAGTCTTGCAAAGGACAGAAAACCTATGCCGTACCAAGTACACCATTAGGTGCAGCGTTACCAGTGAAGAAAAACAGTGGTTATTTTCCTAGTACTAACACATTAGGTAAAACTGTTATGAAGCCTGCGACATTTGATGGTACCGGGTCCTGGATTGATTACAAAGCTCATTTCGAGGCATGCAGTAGCATCAACCTGTGGAATGATAGACAAAAAGGCTTGTACCTGGCAGCATCATTAAGAGGCCAAGTACAAACAGTTCTTGGAAATATGAAGACATAATGCTTGTGCATATAGAGATTTGTGCGAAGCGTTAGAGGCAAGATTTGAACCAACTAATCAGACGGAACTATATCGAGCCATGTTAAAGGAAAAACATCAAAGACCAAAAGAGACACTGCCAGAATTGGGGGAAAGTATACGACGACTTGCACATTTAGCGTACCCGACGGCACCACGTGAGGTTACAGAGATGATTGCTAAAGATCAGTTCATCGACGCCTTAAGGGACTTTCATATGCGTCTGAGAATACAGCCGTCGCGACCCAAATCTTTGAATGACGCGATTCGCCTGGCCATGGAGATTGAAGCTTTTTGTAGAGCTGAACGCCAGAGAAGACACGATGTTAGTTTTGCCAGCCAAGCATATGGTGAATTACAGCGGCAATCAGAAGCTGATACAAAGGTACGGGAAGATTTGAAACAATTACGAGGTGAGCTTCGGTCGTCACTACGAGATCTCGAGAACAAAATAGCCACTTTGTCAGAACGCAAGGAGATCAGTAAGGCACAACTAAAAGCCGATGGACTGAGTTCAATACAAAGTCCTGACCAAACAAGGTTCCCTTTTAAGTGTCATAACTGTGGTAGACGAGGCCACAGAGCTCAAGACTGTTATTTTAAAAAGGGAACAGAGATCAGTTGTAAAACCTGCAATGCATGCACGGTATCCTCAAAGAATGTAGTAGAACAAAAAGAAGAAGCCGAGGCTAAGCCAAAGAAAAGAAAGACGAATACGAGCTCAGTCACTCAAACATAAGTTGATAGTCAGTCTGGGTTATTTATAAAGGCAAGTGTTAATAAGGTGCCTTGTACATTGTTAGTGGATACCGGTGCTACACTGACAATTTTGTCAAATAAAGTATTTGAGAACATGCTTAGCATTGAAGCTGTAAAACTATTGCCCATAACTCAGAAGATAGTATTGAAGGCCATTGTATGTGCAGGGTAAGTGCACATTGGACTTTATGATGGGGAATCAAAAGTTTACTTTTGAGACAGTTGTAGCAAATATCGAAACAGACGGTATCTTAGGTTTAGATTTTCTGAAGCAGCATATTAGATGTTTGGTGGATGTTTCCTCAAGGAAAATGTGTGTTGGAGGAGCTGAGCTTGAACTCGAGTGTAACAAGTGTGACAAGGCATTTGCTAAGCATTTACGTCTAAGGAGACACCAGAAGAGGTTACACTCAACCACTAGTCTGAAAGATGGAGAAACAAGTGTTCCATTGAACTCCAAGTCGGATGTTGAAGATGTCCGTGATGGAAATTCTGAATGGCGAGAGGATCCATGTGATTCATTTTATTTGAAGAAACTTGAAGTTGGTAGAACCACTAAGAAGAAAACTTCGCCCAGTCTCCCTGGAGTCAAGCGCAAGGCAGACGAACTTGTAGACAAGGTGCCTGATCAATCTGAAGACAAAAGTTCAACCCTGGTAGATGATGGTAAGGATCATGAGGCGCCCATGGTTTTACATCACTGCCCCAGCTGTAAGGATCATGTTACTAGGATGGATGTCAGCACCCAGACGGACACAAGTCGTCACCAGAATACAGTCAGAGTAGTGAAAAAATACCAGAAGGATGGTGAATGTGTGGAGAGAGTTGAGGAAGACAATTGGAATGACTAAGTATAGTGATGTACTTTGGAAAAGAAACAATGTTCCTGTATATAAGTCTATTGTTGTAAATACTTGTATTGTTTAACTGGGTATAAGAAGGAATTCTTAACCTCGTTTTGTTGATCTTTTTATTGAAAAAAAAACCATAACCAATGAACATGCTGGACGCAAGTATACAGAGGCGTGGGTAGTGTAATGAGTAATGAAAAAGGCCTATGCCATTCAAACGTTGGTGAGACCTGGAATAATGAAACAGTCCAGGAGCCTGTTCACCCCTGTTTGAATGGTATGGCCCTTTGCTATATAAATGACTGCAGAGGCAGTCTCGATCATTCTGAAACCCGTAGAAGAAGTGGGAAGTTGAAAAGAAGAAAATAGTTCATGTTAGAACAGAAGAATTAAAATAGTGAAATAAAAGTAAGGCTAGGGTACAGAGCGCCGGTAAATGGTTAGCCCAGAAATTGTAGTGTAGCGCAAGGTATAGTAGTCCTGAATAAGGGTGAGGTACCGAGCACTCATTACAATAAGAACTTGGTTTCGGAACCAGGTGCAGGGAACCCAGTCATATAGATTGTACTTGGTAACAGAGAACCTCGGCTTTTGTATCCCACTGTTTATATAAAAAAAATAATAAGGAAAAGGATCTCACCAAAGTAATAAAAAATCATACTTGTACAAATTTTAATTCCCAGTATTAATTATAGGCTCAGATAGAGCCATAGGAAACGTTCATTTATGTTTAAATATATTGGACCCTGTATCTCCTGAAAACTGACCCTTAAGTTACACGTTACAATATATTTCTTGTTTCTCTTTTATTTCTAAAGCGCTGACCATTACGCTATTAGGATCACTTGACTGTATATATTTCTGGAAAGGTTGGTGACTATTCATAATTTCGTGTCATACGCCACCAGTAAACTACAACCGCAATTTTTCCGGTGATCATCAATGTTTACTTTGTACTGAATAATATGATGAGAGATTGCCAGTGAATTATTTTGAAAGCAGATTCACATTGGAATTTGATACTTGAGTTTGAACAACAACTGTAAGCAGAATAAGGAATGATCTGTTCCTGTTGAACTTACGAAACTGTGCACTTCATTTATTTTTGATGCACTCAACTTTCCCCCATGCAATTCCTCATACTCACATGTTGATGTAATCTTTTCTGCATGTCTATATACTTCTGCACAAGTCTGTCTGTCCTTGAATTATAAAGGCGGGTCCTGGCCAATTCATAATTTCGAGCAAAACGTCAAGACTTAGTAAATCTTTGCGCCTTTTCTTTTGAATATTCTATAAGATAGGTGTGTTAGCTTCAATGAAATAAAAAAGAATGTTCTTATAGCCCAATGTTGAAGTTTAAAATGTATATTGAACACATTGTACAAAAAACATATTTTAATAGGCAAGTAACACTAAAGCAGTGAAACTGCTATGATTTTTGGGAGTTGAACTATGTTCAATCTCCCATGGTAATCATGCATTTAACATGGGCAGTAATTTGTGTCAATCATATAAAGCTGAAAGTGAGGCTACTCTGTCGACCAATTGACTCCGATGATATTCAACAGAAAACATGCATAAACATCTGCCACAAATAGTTCATGTCATTTTCTCCTGAATTGATCTATTTTCATAATTTGAAGTGTAAGTTAATGTAATGATAAAGTAATCTTATTTTGAATATTAGATTTCATTCAAAGTAAAACTAAATTATAAAGAACATCAACAATTTTTCATAATGGAAGTCATTTTAGTGTAGCTTCATACAC